TAATAATAATAATAAGAATAATAATACTAGGGGAGATCGATGGAGAGTGGTGAAGTTTTGGCGTCAGGAAGGGGACAGCAAGGGGCCTGCGGAGCTGATGGAGCAGCTGCGAAGAAGAGAGATGATGATGCAGCAGAGCCTTGGAAGTCCCGAGGGTCAGTTGGGTTTAGGGTTTAGGGTTTAGGGTTTAGGGTTTAGGGTTTAGGGTTTAGGGTTTAGGGTTTAGGGTTTAGGGTTTAGGGTTTAGGGTTTGGGCGCATGGCGCGCCTTTCGTGTTTTCCTGAACATGAACCGCAGGCGATCCTGACAGGGGGTTCCATTAAAAGGGATCCTTAAAGGGCTCCTTTAAAGGCTGCTATAAGGGATCTTCTATAAGGGTTTAAGGCTGCACTTGCAGGCATCACATTCTTTTTGAGGTTGTTTCATTAGTCCGTTTGATATTCTGGCAGCAGCGCCATGCCATTTTCTTTCTGTTCGAGATTCTACTTTGGGGTCTGGGGCTTCGTGGTGCTTTCCCAGGATGCACCTCGCCCAACAGCGACAGCGTATGCAGCAGCTGCTGTCCCGCAGTTTATTTGCCGAGGATCTAAATAGCTTGGCCCGGCCCAAGTCAATCAAAGTTTGAAGTCGTGCCTGACGCATTTGTGGCGCGTGCATTTGAGTGCCGTCATTGAGGATTCAACAGTGGCAAGCTCACCTGCACAATCCTCGCTACACAGCCCCTCCGACTCTGCCTGAACCGAGAAAGGGCAAGGTCGTGGTGTCAGGCCCCAAGCTTCCCAAGCCTACGTGAAGAAGGGCTCTCTCGCCCTCTTTCTCTTTGATTTCTCCTTTTCCTCAGACAAAGTAGATGCACAAAAGTGTCGATGCAGTGCTGAGGCCACCTGCGCCTACGCGATTCTACGACGAGCTCGAGTACCCGGACAAGAAGAAGGCGGGCCAAAGCTATTGCATCTGGGGGCTTTTCTGAAGTGTGCGTGCCAGTGTCTTCCAACTGATCTTCGTCGAAGGCTTCTCGTGGACTGGCCGCTGTCGCCGTGGGGGCGCTCTTCGGCCCCTTGGGGTCAAAGAGAGCGGGTTTGCCCAAAAGTTGTAGGGTGCTTGGATATCTCGCGACTCGAAGTTTGCCACGTATTGACCCCTTGATTTCATGACTGCTAATTTCGCCGCTTCTCCAACACGCGACGGGAATTGAGGCTTTGTTGTTTCCATCCTCGAGCCCTGTTCGGCCGCTGGTACTGCACTTTACAATTGAAGGAGATCGGCTGAGGTGTAGCAGAAGTCTTGCTTGCTTTGCTTTTACAAAACGCAAGCATCAGATGCACATGCCGAAATGCCGGTGCCACAATAACTATAGTTAAGTTAAGCGCCATGAAGCACAGCGTGGAATCACGCTAGCAAAGCGGCTGAAGGTTCGGAGTGCTCGAGTTCAGAGGAGCGTTTCACTACCTCGCTTGCCAGAGCAGTCTTCCATACTCTACCGAGGCCTACTACTTGGTATGGTCTTTCCTGGCCTGCCACCTTGCGCTCATCATCCTTCTGCGGGACTATGGCAGCGAGTGGGCGCTGCTGCTGGTGTGCGCAGCTTGGGTGTAAGTTCAGATTTGGAGTGCAGTTGGCAGCGCTCGCAATATTCAGATCATTTCAGATCTTCGAATTACTGGAAAACTCTAGCGCTTTTGTTTTGGGCTTGCGGTGGATGCGCCCCGCAAGGTAACATCACGTAGCATGGCTAGTGAGTGTTTGGCTGCCCTACTATGATATTTTTCAGGATCTAGGGAAGGGTCAGCGTGGGCCTGTGCCGTGCACGGGTGGGGCTGGCGAGAGTATATGGGCTTTCTTTCCAGGGAGCTGAGCAGCTGCTTGTCCTGACTTTGCACGGCTTTGATGGCATTGCAGGGTTTCTGTGTCTCTGTGTGTGTGTGTGTTGTTTGTGTTAGTAGGAAGAGGTATTGGTTAGTATTCGTAACAGCATCAATATTGCAAGAAGTAGAATTAGTAGTAGTCGTAGTCGAAGTCGTCGTCGAAGTCGTAGTAGTACTTGTTGTAGCAATAAGCAGTAAGTAGTAAGGTCGTACGTAGTACGCAGTAGGTAGCAGGCAGTAGGTAGTAGGGAGTAGGTAGTAGGTAGTGGGTCGTAGTAGTGAGGGGTAAGGAGTAAGGAGTAAGTAGTAGGTAGTAAGTAGTAGGTAGTATGTAGTAGGTAGTAGGTAGAGTGTAGTCGGACCTTTGTGAAGTTTGTGAAGTTGAAGTTGGAGTTGGGTGGAGTTCAATGGAACTCTGCTGTTAGTGTTGTGGTCCCTCGGAATCCTCGCCTGACCTCGTCGAGTGCGCGTGCCAGGAAAGTAGCAAGTAGCAAGTAGTGAGCAATAAGTAGAACTTGTAAGGAGTAGTAAGTAGTAAGTAGTAAGTGGTAAGCGGTATGCAGTAAGCAAAATCGGTAGTAGTTGTAGTAGCTAGTAGCTAGTAGCTGGTAGGTAGTAGCTAATAGCTAGTAGCTACTAACTAGTAGCTGGTAGCTAGTAGCTAGTAGCTAGTAGAAGCAGTAGTAGTTGTGGCAGCTGTGGTAGTAGTCGTCGTAGTGGTAGTAGTAGTAGTAGTAGTAGTAGTAGTAGCAGCAGCAGCAGCAGCAGCAGTAGTAGTAGTAATAATAATAATAATAAGTAGTGGTCGTTGCCGCAGTAGTCAGTGAGTGAATAATGTAAAACTGTACAACAGGGTTGGACGCAGCAGCAGCAGCAGCAGGCGTCGCAGTCGCGGTCGCAGTCGCAGTCGCAGTAGCAGTAGCAGTCCGAGCGGCCGAAGCAGTAGCGGTAGCGGTAGCGGTAGCGCTACGGCTACCGCTAGTAGTAGTGGTAGCTGCAGAAGTAGAAGTAGTAGTAGTCATCGTCGTGGTCGGTGTGGTGGTGGTGGTGGTGGTGGTGGTGGTGGTGGTGGTGCCAGTACCAGTGCCAGTACCATCTTTTCCACCACTTGGTTTCGTGCAGTTCATCCTGAACTTGGAATGTTGGTTTGGTCGCCGGCTCCCTGGACTCTTCTTCTTGGACCGGTAGTCGCGCGAGGTTAAAAGTACTGGGAATCAAGGCCGCCAGGGCCCAGGACCTAGGACCTGGGAGACGTTTGTTTGTGTTTGCCGAGGAGTTCACAGGTCCGCAATTCCCCTGTGCATGTTTCATGTCGTTGTTACTGCGATTCTCGGAGGGAGCCTGCTCTTCGATGAATGTGGCAGGAAACGCACTTGAAAGACTTAAAAGAGCGGTTTCAGAATGCCGGGCATTGCCAGGCTAGGGGCTACAGTAGTCTCTGCCATGAGAGAAAAGGTGGTGCTGGCGTTCCATGCTGGACATGCTCTGGCGGAACTTGGGTCCTGGCTTTTGGCTGCAGATGGTGAAGACTCGCTGGGGCCATGGTCCATCGTTGTCATCTTCGCCGGGAGCTTACGGCCAACTGTAGAAATGGACACGACTTGTGTGCCGCAGGTTTCAGCGGTTTGCCATGTATTTAATCTAATCTGATTTAGGCATGTTGTCCGTCATGCTGCTGCTGCTGCTGCTGCTGCTGCTGCTGCTGCTGCTACTGCTGCTGCTGCAGGCGTGCATCCTATACCTGCAGAGCTACTTGAAAGAGTGCAAGACTCTGCCACCGGACTACCTCTCCACGTTGTCCTTCTTTTTCCCGGTCTTTCCTGCCTATGACGCAGCCGTGGCACTGAGCTGCCTAGAATTCTTTCTGGAATGGAGATACTTCCCAGACTTCAAGCTATGGACGCCTCTTGTCCTTTTAGGACGCTCAGCAGCACCAGCAACGGCGGCTCTGGGCCACTTGAGCCAGGTAAAGAAACAATCCTTCAGAGCTTTCAGACTTCAGGCATTGTGTCTATGGCCTTGGGCCAGGGCTTGGTGAGCTGGGCTGCGAGCGTGGCGGACAGCTGCGGGGGGAGGGTCCTGTTGGCTTCTGCCTTGCTTGTGTCTTTGAGTGGGAGGACAGAAACTTCTGGGCCTCGACACGGGAGCTCGAGGAGGATGAGCTGGTGGGTGGCCTGGGCTTGGATTGAGAGGGGAGGGGGAATAGTTTCTGCGACTTTGCAAGGGGCCTTGCATCGCCAAAAAAGTGCTGAGGTTTGGAGATTCCGAATCGCCGGGTAGTTCGTGAAGGTCCATACGCCTGGGAACGCCACCCAGCGTACCTGGGAGCTCTACTCTGGGGTCTAGGCCGGGATGCGGAGCTGAAGCGTCGACACACGACTTGTGGGCATAGGCTTAAGGGAAAGGGACGGTGGTTCCTGAGGCACGCAGCTGGCCCTTTGCAACCCGGGCATGCTGGTGATGGTCGGCTTCGTGTTGTGGGCATCACTCCTCCACGTCACCATGGAGGAGGAGAAGGAGCTTTACGATGAGTTTCCAGGTGCAGATGCAGGAAAGTGGCTTGCATCCCGGATGGCTGAGCTGTAGCTGCAGCTTCTGCAACTTCTGCAGGTCTCTATGTGAACTACGCGGCCCTGACCAGCTGCTGGATTCCGGGCTTCCCACCTCTCTTGGAGAATTCCGCTTTCCAGCGCGAGATGGACGACAATGCACCGGAGCAGGAAGGAAACGAGCTCATGGAGCAGGAAGAGAGTGAAGAGGACCTATGCCCAAAGTTCCGCTCACCGCTTTGCAGTGACCTGGGTTCCAGGAGATCGACGAAGAAGACGACCTCCTACCAACTTGGGAAGGAGTTCCCAAAGGTGGCGCGATTTGGAACCGCCAGTTTCAGGCACGGCATATTGCGCCTTTTTCCAGAGGCAGTCCGCAAGAGTTTAAGGCCTTGCGAGTATGTCTGTGCATCCAGGAGCCATGGCGCCTCGGTTAGCGCTCGCCTTCCCACAGAGCTTCGAGCCACATCTTCGAGCCTTGGACTGTCCACATCCCGGAATCACCCGAAGGGCCAGAAGTTGGCTTGACCAGCCCAGGTTGTGCGTCAACGGCGAGTAGAAGCAGGTGTTTCACCGACAGTTCTCAGGTGCTGCCAGCTGCACAGCAGCAATCAGACAGCATGTAACAGACCGCACAGCGCTTTAAGCGACAGTCTGGCTGTTCTCTCAGGCTCTGGGGCAAGCAGAATCAACACTACCCAGTCAGCTAAGCTCCCACTATCTTCAGCTTGCCCAGCTCACAAGAGCCGGCTAGATTGACAGGCAGATGGCAAGGCAGAGCAAAAGCACACATGCGCATACGCCCACACATGCACTGTCACACGCAGAGATGCCATCTCACCCACTTTGGACTTAGGACTCTTTCTAAATGTTCGGTCTCTGTTTTCTGTGTGCTCATGCTGCAGGAGCCGATGCGACTTCTCACTGTACGATTCCCCCACTTTCGGGGTTCAGGGTATGACTCGGGAATTAGCCTACAGTTTCAACGAAGTGGAGAAATCTTGTATAACCACCCCAACCCCCTTCACTCCTACTCAGGTCGCAATGTTAGATATGTAGAGCTAAACAGGAACCTGGACAAGCACCAAAGCGTCTTCAGACCTTGCCCGGCACATGCTGAGTGTGTCCGCAAAAAGCCATGCCAAACTCTAAATCCCGGAACCTATGTTTCATAAGAATGGGGTTTGGGGGTATATAATACCATATTCATAATAAGGAACCCCACCCAAAATAGCATAAATCTCCCGGGGGGGTGCCGTCTGGGTGCAGCCCCGGAGCCCCACCTGGCGGAGACCCGGCCAGGAGTTCGAAGCCCAAAGCTTGGCGAACCTCTCCTGGGCCGAGGCCGGGGAATTTTTTACCCTTTGGTTTAGGGTCTAAGGTTTTGGGTTTAGGGTTTAGGGTTTTGTGCTGCTTGCTCCAACCCCCGGCGAAGTGGAAAGCCTGTTGCAAAAAAGGGTTTTGTGGAGCAAACGGCGAATTTACGTAACAAGGCGAGGGGCGACATGCAGCGCATGATGCAGGTAGATTCGTCGATCTGGATAGTAGAGTTCGACAAAAGTACGGGTTGAAGACGGGAGCTTATCTAACATTAGGTAAACTTATTTGTGTATAGACATAAATGTACGTATGTATGTATGTATGTATGTATGTATGTATGTATGCACGGATGCAGGTATGCAGGTATGCACGCATGCATGTATGCATGTATGCATGTGTAGTATGCATATGAGCATGTGAGCATGTTTGCATGCATGTATGCATGGACGGATGGATGCATGCATGCATGCTTGCGTACATGCTGGTATGTATCGATGTATGTAGGTATGTATGTATGTATGTATGTACGTACGTATGTGTATGTGCATGTGTTTATGTATGTCAATGGGTAGGTGTAGGTGCATGTGTTGGTATAATATGTATATGTGCATGTGTATGCACATGCCTCTGTACATCTACACCCGCATCTACATGTATGCACTGTATGCATGTATGCATGTATGCATGTATGTATGTAGGTTTGTTGGTAGGTAATGTTGGGTCAGGTAAGGTAAGGTTAGGTAAGGTAAGGTTAGGTAGGTAGGCAGGTAGGTAGGTGGGTGGGTGGGTAGGTAGGTAGGTAGGTAGGTAGGTAGGTAGGTATGTAGGTATGTAACCATACTTTGCAACAGCACGGGTAAGTGCAAGCGATTCGCGTCGTCCGTCTCGGTCCGGTCGCAGGTGGAGTAGTCGCCAAGGAAAGTGAGCCGGAAGTCGGGGCCGGCGGGGGCCGGGAGAGGTTCCTGGAGGGGAGGAGCGAACATATGACGGCTTCCGCGGCCGGGCCCAGGCGAACTTTCCTGTACTTGCGTCGTGCCTGACAGGCGGATGACAAGTTCTTGGAAAGTAAGAGCCTTCATTTCCTGACGGGCGCAGGCAACAATGCGTTTCAAGGACGACGTGCCGCAGCCTTGGTGGCCATGCGATTGGGCAAAGTTCCAATCCCGCTGTCTATGGGACTTCTTGCATCGCAACAAAACGCCACAGCATGACATGGCATGGTTTTAGTGCAGTGTAACTTATTGTAGTGGAACACGCGGTAGTTTATAAAGTGAAGAGCCCCGAAATCCCTTTATTGTGCGGGACAGCACATGTGCGTGGTGATGACAGTGCTCGGAGACTAGATGATAGGTGTTAGACAGGGTAAGGGCAGGCAAGGGTTGTTTGAGCAAGAAAAACAACAACATGTTTGTTTCTACACCTTGCAGTTGTGAGTTTAACGTCCAGGGCAGTCAGAGTGGATACCGGGTAGTGCTCTTTTTCGCCCGAGGTTGATGCACCACATTGCTGGTGAGGCAGTCAGGGTTCGGCTGCTGTGGCTATTGGAATCTAGGGGCACTTGCCGAACTTCCCGAGCTCATTTCTTCAGATCCGCATTGTCCTTAGAAGATGCATGCATGCTGCCTCGAGATACTGTTTCAAGCGAGACGAAAAGACATACACACACACACACACATATGCACACAAGCAGGTTTGCAGACAGGTGAGGAACAGAGTCTGTTGCCTGGCTGTGTTGAGGCCTTGCGAAAGATGGACCGTTTCTCCCCGCAGCATGCACCTGCCTTGGGTCAGAATGCAGATTTCTGGCAATGGTTGGAGTGTGTACGAAGGTGGCCAACACCGCCTGGGCATATGCCACGTCGGATCCTCGACCTTAGCGGCCGTCTCAAGGCCAGAGTTCCAGATCTGAACGAGGCTTGGGCGCCGTGCCGATGTGCTGTTCAACGCACTGGAGGATTGGATCGCTGGTAGCTACAGCGCAAGATGCCGCGGGTAACTAGGGCCGGTGATGAACACCTGTCTGGGACTGGGAGACTGGCCGGAGGCAAGAGCGCTGCAGCTACTTCAAGAAGAGGCCCCGGACTTCGCTGGGACCTTGGGCCAGATGGGCGAGCAAAGGAAAAAAAACACAATGTGTCTCTTGTCTCCGAGGTGCCGCTGGACTTGGCTCTCTGCTGCTGGTCTGTCGCCCAGGATTTCAAGACAGAAGGCGACAGAGCTCAGAGCTTCAGGGCCGTTCAAGAGTTTCTGAAGTGGTTCAGTTCGGTGGCATCCATCAGGGTCCTTTGGCATTCTCCAGCAGCCCACATAGCGAAGCAGCAGGCAAGTCCCAGCAAAGACTCGTCACAGAGAGCCACGGCCAAAATCACCCTAAACAAGACAAGCTCCTTCGTATTCTACGAAGGGGGCCTTCCTACTGCCCGGAGTATTGTTCCTGAGCGTCCGATAGGTCCGGCATGCTTCCATGGCGCCCTCTTGAACTCCTTTTAGTGTTCTTGGCACTGGTGGACGCCGACGTGGCTGATGATGACTTGGCTTGTGCTATCGAGACCTCTGAGTGGAAGACGTATCATGCTGCTTATGAGACTGCTGCGCGGGCCACGGCGATCGAAAACTCCGGCGAGAGGAGAGCAGCGGCGGTTGGCCTGGCAGAGCAGCTTTTGGCTCGAACTGCAAATGTGACGGAGGTGCTCTCCTGCAACGTTGGCGTGGTGGCTGGGTATTATATCCTGGCAAGACTCATTTCCCCTACAGCTGTCGACAGCCTCGGCTTTGCCGGCGGTGCACCTGAGGGTTTGACTGGCTTGGCATACAGGCTGTTGCAGCTGGCACTTGTTTTCATCTTCACTCTCCGCAATGCAAATCGTATACCCGAGGCCCCTGCTAAAGCCTGGGGGGTGACTGAACATCATATAATCCCGGCAATTATGCAAATGCGCCGGGGTCATGACCAAAGGCTGCGGCGAGAGTTTCGGAACCTGGTGCCGATTGCGCCCTCCTTTCGTGATCCGAAACTGAACATCGCCGTGGTCTCGATCTGCGCATACCCAGAAGACCATCCACTGGCGCTGCCCAGGCTCACGCCTTCGAATCGCGAAGCTTATGCTGAGCACCATGGCTATTCCCTGCGCCTTCACCTGGAGCACCCCATCATTGGGGCACATGGGTTGGGAGTACAACATGCCAAGCTGGCGACGGTGCTTGCCTACCTCCAGTCGAATCAGTATGACTGGGTGGCATGGCTCGACTGCGACTCCATCATCATGAACATGAACCGCACCTTGGACTCGGTCATCTACCAGTATGCGCAATACAGGCAAGGCCGAGGGCCAGACAAAGAGGTTGCTCCTGTGTGTGGCGAGGGTGAGGATGCTGAAGACCTGGACTTGCTGACGGGAAAGTGGCTCGACTCATGGGTGGCTGATGAGTTTCGAGAGGAAGGGGCGATTTATATCTCCAGAGAAAGCGACAGTGACGAAGTGCAGGCAGAGGCACAGCAGATCGGCCATTCCGGAGGGAGGCTGGTGGATGGCCGCTTGGAGATGGACTTTCCGGGCGGATCGCTGCAGGCCAGCATTGTTTGGAAGGACGTCGAGGGAAGTGCCCGGCAAGCGGAGAAGCTTCGGTGGGACAATGGAGCCGTTTGGATCCACGAGCTCGAGAAAAGGGAGAGCCAGGAGCCTTGCCGTGAGCCCTGCAGAGAGCCAGGGCCGGGCTGCAATGGGAGCTTGCTGGATCCGGAGGCGAAGGGAACCTAGGAAGCCTTGAGGGCCTTAGTAGTTAGAATCGGGTTTTCGGGCCCATTATACAATGATTATAATAAGGAACCCCCAAAACGAAACCGTTGCAAAGTAGAAGGCGAGTGTGGTTGTCGGTAGCCACGAGGTCGAGACTGTTCGGGTTGACTCGAGTGATCGGTAGCTGCCATGCAGGTGAACCTGCTCATTACTGAAGAAGGGTGGGGACTCAGCTCTGCAAACTGGATCATACGGCACAGCGCTTGGTCGATGAAATTTTTGCACGATGCACTGACAGCTGCGCACGTGGAGCTGCAGCTTTTTGGCGATCAGGATGCCATGATCCTTAACCTCATGAACAGTGGCCGAGTTGCAAACCT